TTCAAACATGGAGAGGCGGAATTCGGTAGCACTCTGAAAGCGAGATCGAGAAGGGAAGATGATCTCAGCCGTTGAATTCAATCGCTGTGAATCTATCATTAGTACGTTTTCTTATAATTTAATTTTTTCGAGATTCTTCGTCTTTTAATTTATTTTTAACAGAAAAAAAAGAAAGAAAAAACATTCAAAAAAGTAGAGCATTATAGGCATGCATTATCAAGGTTCAACATCTATTCATAGAAGCGGGATATTTGTCAAAGGTTTCGCTAGGGCATTGATTGATTTCAAATAGGTTGGCAAATGTGAAGGCTGATCATTTAGCAAAATTGGCTAGGGGATGTATGTAATAAAATGGCCTTCGTAAAGCTCTGTTGTATAAATTTTCTATCAATAAAATTTACGTTATAAAAAGCTTTATCATTTTCAAATTGAGTTAATATTGTAGTTGTATGATTTTGAAAATAACAACTTTTTGCAGTAATTGATAGCTTTAGAAAGATTTTAAAATGGGAAAAAGAGAAATGTGAGAGTAGAACCCAACAAACAAACAAAAAAAAGATTTGACATCTTCATGAGATGCAGAGTTTGTGTTCTGCTGCTCTGTTCCTGAAGGCAACTCAGGCATGTAGAATTCCTCATTTGCAGATTTAACCTCATCTGGTAAATCATTTGTAGATTCTGAACAACTGAAAACAGTTGAAGCTTGGCTTAGAATTAGTTTCATCTCCACTGCTTTGCATCCACGAGGAAGATGAAGCGACAGATTTGTTCTGAAGGGCAACTAATGTCTAGCTTTGACACTGATCTAAAAGACCTGATGCATAGTAGGAATCTAACTTCTTCTAAACTGAGCTGTTCCAGTGATTTTTTATTGAATTATCTGACCTATGGGAACGTAAGAACAAATAAGCAAATCAACAAAAAAGGAAGGCTAGACCATAATCTCCAGCAGCAATTTTTTTTTATTCCATTGCATATGAGGCCACCATTTTTTCAGGAACATGTTACACAAATAATGTTATATACTAGGACGGATGGAAAAGGAATTTACCTTCCAGGCAAAAATTTCATTAGCTCTGCCCATTTATTCCCATAAATTTGATGCGCACGAATAAGAATCAATTCCTCTTCCTGAGTCCATGCGTTTTTATTGATGCCAGGGCTAAGAAGGTTATGCCACCTACATGAGCCACAATATTTTTCATGTGCACCGAAGTACCACCAAATGTAAGAATTGTAGTAGAAAAATGTCATTTAAAAAAAAAAAAGATGTAGAGAGTATGCGTATACCTTTCCCTACATTGGTTTCCTATGTGCCCAGGTAAATGCTGAGAAATAAATGACCATCTCTTTGGCCCGTATTTTTCTACCAGAGCAATTATTGTTGTATCCTCCTTCAAAAATATGGAAAAATAATGTCACGAAACACATTACAGACGCTATCGTGGTGTAAACGACTCAAACAACCACCATGCTGAGCGAAATATCTCCACATTTAGAAATTCACCTCTTTTGACCACGGCCCTTTCACAAGCTCTGGGTTCAAGACATTTTGCCATCTATGAAGACACTGGACATCAGTCCTATCCTTAAAACATTCGGCTGAAAAGATGAAACGATTAAAATCAAACATTGCTTTCACCATACTTACTGAAGACTACAAATAAACTAAACTAGAGCTAAAATGGAGGATTGATATGATCTTTAAATACGTTGGAAAACTAAGCTAGGAAAAACAATAAGGAAATGAGAATTCACTACTTGACTTACCTATCTTCTTCCAATTCTTTCCTTGAAAATGCTCGACTGCTTTACACAAGACTTCGTCCTGATCCAGGAAAAAATTAACAGAAAACTTCAGTACATGCAAAGGATAGCTATTGTCAACTAGTTAAATTGAACTGTACAAAGCACCAATACGGTATGATACAACCAACTGATTAAGCTCAAGCCATTGTTCCAGGATACATCTTTGATTGCAAACTTGCCTGATTCACAATAAATGAAGTACGCAAGAATCAGACAGCAAGCAAGCAAAAGACACTAGAACTCACCTCTTCGGATGTCCATTTCCTTTTAGTTGATCGTCTTGCAGGGCCAGAAGTCCTCCTGTTTTCACAAAAGAGCTTGCAAGATTAACCTGAGAATGTCTTATTGAATGCAAAAAAATTGGTACTAAAAGCAATCCAACCTCAACAACACTGAAAAACCAAC